TTCAGCATTGTATGCCATTCTTATGAGGACTTCTTTCAGCATCTTTAGGTGTCTGTCGCATTCCTCCTCAGCTGAGTGGATCCTGTGTATATGCAGGGCTTGTCCGTCGGGGATGACTTCTTTACTGTGTTTAGGTGTGGAGTCCCAGCATTGGACTGGGCTGGACAAGGTCAAAAATCACATGACACCAGATTATTGTCCAACCGGTTTATTTGAAAACACAAGCTTTTGGAATCTCACTTCTTCTTCAGGTGTTAGTGATAGAGGTGGCATCAGACACAGAATTTATAAGCAAAGAATCAAAGGGTCAGAGAACTGATGTGAATGTATTGAACAAACCTAAGATGGCTGTTAAATCTTTAATGAGTTAGAAAGGAGATGCAGGTTTCAATTGATTAAAACACAAATCCCAGAATTTCTTTCAAGTCACTGCCCTGAGATAACTGAAAGTTTTAATAAGTATACCAGAGGTGACATCTCAGGTCAGACAATGCATTTTATGACTTAGGCCTTGTTTAGAATTGTGTTTTAACTTGGAGTCAGACTGGTTTTATTTCCAAAGTAGGAATATTAAAATGCCACATTGACTGTCTCCCAGAAATTCTGGGAATTGCATATTAATCAATTGAAACCTGCATCTCCTTTCTCACTTATTCAAGATGTTACAGCTATCTCAGGTTTGTTCAATATGTACACATCAGTTCTCTGACCCTTTGATCTTTTGCTTATAAATTCTGTGTCTGATACCATCTCCCTTACTAACACCTGAAGAAGGAGCGAGAATCTGAAATCTTATGTTTTCAAATAAACCTGTTGGACTATAACCTGGTGCTGTGTGATCTTTAACATTAACATGTTTAGTGTTGAAGCTAGAGAAGTGCAGCATTGTAAGGTTATCTGTGGGCTTGTGATAGAGTGGGGTACTGAGGGGTCCGTCCTTGATGGAGATGTGTGTATCCAAGAATGACACAATCACCTTGATAACTTGTGATGATCTCTCTACCTTAATTAGTTTGTACAGTTTTGGATTACTTGTTACTTTGGTTAGACCCTCGGCATGCAACTCCTATACCTATCATATTATTCATGTGCGTCCAGCACCACCTTTTCTTATTTTTTTGTAATTATCTCTGTGCCTCAATTAATTAGATTATAGGTCATCCCTTCACTTGCTATTCAGCTGTTGACACTTTACACACATCATCTGAAACTTTTGATCACCTGCAGAGACTTATTATTCAGCCTGGCAACGCTCACACCATTTGTATGATCTGTTGATTTCTCTGCCTATAAATTATGTGCCTGCGTGCTTCTCTTCACTCCACCTGATGAAGTGAACTGTTTGTGTCTATCAAAGATGCTTTTAGCCTCGCTGCCCTAACACAGAAACATGGCAACTAACATCTCCCTATAGCATATTTGTTTTTGAAGCTGGACCCAGTTGCAGCAGGACTTCTGGGATGTCTGCAAGCATTGGCTGCTGCTATGAAGCAGTTATGTCTGCTCAAAATATTACCATTGGTAGCCCTTTAGTAGCACGTGCTGGTCATGCTGTAAAGGAGTTGCTCCTCAATGCTGCAACACAGCATTTGACTACAGCTCGAGAGATTAAGTATGAACTTGCCCCATTGAATGACCCCACCATTAACATTGTCCTTTCTGATGTTGTAAATCCTTCTTCACTCGTGAGCCCTTCTACCAGTTGTTCCAAAAATGACTTGCATGCCCTATATGACTGTTTGGACCTTGCTAAATTTAAAACATCCCCGTGAGCTGACTTAAAGGAGACCCTGTTACAGAATCCAGATTTAATCCTTTATACAGATGGTAGTTCTACCAAAGGCTTTGATGGTATTAAAATGATAAGATATAGCATATTTTTCAGACCTCGAAACACTGGAGCCTGGACGACTACCTTCTCATTTGTCTGCACAGACGGCTGAGTTATTTGCCCATACTAGAGCTTGCATTCCCACTGCGGGAAAGACGTTTAATATCTATACTGACTTTAGACTTTTATATATTTAGATAGACTTTAGATATAGCCTTTGGAGTTGCTCATGATTTTGGACAGCTCTAGAGCTAGAAGGAGGTATGAAAAAGCCTTGGCAGGTAGGATTAAGGAAAACCCCAAGATGTTCTATACTTATGTGAGGAACAAGAGGATGGCCAGAGTGAAGGTAAGGCTAATCAGGGATAGTGGAGGGAACTTGTGCATGGAGTCGGAGGAGGTAGGGGAGGTCCTTAATGAATACTTTGCTTCAGTATTCACCAGTGAGAGGGACCTTGATGTTTGTGAGGACAGCGTGAAACAGGCTGATATGCTCAAACAGGTTGATGTTAGGAAGGAGGATGTGCTAGAAAATTTGAAAAACATGAGGATAGATAAGTCTCCTGGGCCAGACGGGATATACCCAAGGTTTCTACAGGAAGCGAGGGAAGAGATTGCTGCACCTTTGGCGATGATCTTTGCATCCTCACTGTCTACTGGAGTAGTACCAGATGATCAGAGGGTGGCAAATGTTATTCCCTTGTTCAAGAAAGGGATTGGGATAATCCTGGGAACTACAGACCAGTCAGTCTTGCTTCTGTGGTGGGCAAAGTATTGGAGAGGATTCTGAGAGATAGTACTTATGATTATTTGGAAAATCACAGATTGATTAGAAATAGTTAGCATTGTTTTGTGAGGGGAAGGCCTAAGAAGCCTAATTGGATTCTTTGAGGATGTGAGAAAACGCATTGATGAAGGTAGAGCAGTGGATGTGGTGTTTATGGATTTTAGCAAGATATTTGATAAGGTTCCCCATGGTAGGCTCATTCAGAAAGTAAGGAGGCATAGGATTCAGGGAAATTTGGCTGTCTGAGTACAGAATTGGCTGTCCAATAGAAGACAGAGAGTGATAGTAGATGGAAAGTATTTAGCCTGGAGCTCGGTGACCAGTGGTGTTCCGCAGTGATCTGGTCTGGGATCTCTGCTCTTTATAAATGATTGGATGAGGAAGTGGAGGGGTGGCTTAGTAAGTTTGCCGATGACACAAAGATTGGTGGAGGGCTGTTATAGGTTGCAACAGGACATTGCCAGGATGCAGAGCTGGGCAAAGAAGTGGCAGATGGAATTCAACCCAGAAAATTGTGAAGTGATTCATTTTGGAAGGTTGAATTTGAAAGCATAATATAGGGTTAATGGCAGGATTCTTGGCAGTGTGGAGGAACAGAGGGATCTTGGGGTCCACGTCCATAGATCCCTCAAAGTTGCTGCAGAAGTTGGTAGAGTTGTAAAGAAGGTGTTTGGTGTGTTAGCTTTCATTGGCAGGGGAATTGAGTTTAAGAGCTGCAAGGTTATTCTGCAACTCTATGAAGCCCTGGTTAGACCACACTTGGAATATTGTGTTCAGTTCTGGTCACCTCATTATAGGAAGGATGTGGAAACTTTAGAGAGGGTGCAGAGGAAATTTACCAGGATGCTGCCCGGACTGGAGGGCAGGTCTTATGAGGAAAGGTTGAGGGAGCTAGGGCTTTTCTCATTGGAGAGAAGAAGGATGAGAGGTAAATTGATAGAGGTGTACAAGATGATAAGAGGCATAAATAGAGTGGATAGCAAGGGACTTTTTCCCAAGGCAGAAATGACTATTACAAGGGGGCATAATTTTAACATGATTGGAGGAAGGTATAGGGGAGACGTCAAAGGTCGGTATTTTACACAGAGAGTGGTAAATGCGTGGAATGTGCTTCCGGCGGTGATAGTGGAGTCAGATACATTAGGGACATTTAAGCGACTCTTGGATAGGCACATGGATGATAGCAAAATGTAAGGTATGCAGGGTAGTCTGATCTTAGAGTAGGAAAACAGGTCGGCACAACATCGTGGGCCAAAGAGCCTGTACTGTTCTGTACTATTCTGTGTTCTATGTTCTATTTTATACCTCCCAAAGTGCAACATCTCACATTCACACAGATTAACCTCCATCTGCCATTTCGCTGCCCATATCTGCAAGCTGCAGTCCTATCCTTCTTGTTGTGAACAGCCAAAGGGATATACTTATTGACACAATCAGCTTATGACCAATGTTCCCAACTTATCACAAGTGTGGAAATTAGATAAAATGGTATCTTGTAAATTGTTCTGATGAATACAGGACTAAAAAAATTGACAAAATGTCTATTTTTTCAACATTACACAAGTTCTGTACTACCAAGCAATTTTCCTCTTTATTCTCCATCATTTTCACAGCTCAACTGTATTAATACTGTCAAATGTCTACCTCTCTTCATTTCCAAAGAAGAATCATATAAAACTGGAAACAATGGCCCAGATTTTTGAATCAGGGTCAAACATCCGTTTGACAGGACTACTAACTATTTACTTACCTTCAGGTGATTTCTGCACTGGCAATTCCTGTACAGGAACTTCCAGTTAGGAACCTATTTAGGACTCTAGCACCACAGTCAAACAAACCATGTACTTTTCTCCATTTGAAGGGGAAAATGTCATGTGGGGGCAGAATGCCAAGTAAGTGAAAGAGTGTTGGGTTTCGGTGAGGTGGGGTGTCAGGTCTGCTGCTTAGGCGGGATGTCATGTCAGGGGTGGGTGGCTATCCACCCATGGTCGGGGACAGGATATTAGTTCTGAGGGGGCTGACGAGTCTGGTAAGTGTAGGGATGATCAAATCTATAGGGGGTATGATTATGGCTTGGGTTGGAAGAGTGGCCAGCTGGGGGTGTTAGTGGGGAGGGGGAGAGGAGTCGGGTTTTAGTAGTTATCCAAATGATAGAATAGATTTCCAATCCTCTGAAATTTCCTGCTTAATTATTAAGCTTAACCCTGTCGGAACTCTTTGGAGTTTCCAATTTTCGGGGTTTTTCAGAGGGTTCCAGACACGAGAAGAGATCATCGGGAGTTTGCATTTCCCTGGCAATTCCCAAAAAGTTGGGGATCCACACAATCTCGACATTGAACTGTTCCAAGAAGTCTTTGATAACTCGAATAGATGGGCCAATAACTGTTTCTCTCTCCGTGAGTGCTCGCTGAGTTCTTCCAGCACTTTTTGTTTTGATTACCTCGGCCATAACTATCCTCCCCTCCTCTGATACAAGGCCATGATCACTTGACGGGACATAAATTTAAATTTGCATTCTAAAGATGATACTTCTGACAGTGCAGCATTTATTCGATAGTGCACCCGAGTATTACTGGGGTCTAATCAGACAATTGTACCAGCCACACGTGGTTGTTTGATATAATGGTCTATGCTTGAAGCATTTCAACTGCTCAAAGAGATAAAAGTTAGATTCGTTTAGTTGTGATAACAAGGTGTAGAGCTGGATGAACACAGCAGGCCGAGCAGCATCAGAGGAGCAGGAAAGCTGACATTTCGGGCCTAGACCCTTCTTCAGAAATGGGGGAGGGGAAGGGGGTTCTGAAATAATTAGGGAGAGCGGGGAAGGTGGATAGAAGATGGATAAAGGAGAAGATAGGTGGAGAGGAGACAGACAGGTCAAAGAGGAGGGGATGGAACCAGTAAAGGTGAGTGTAAGTGGGGAGTTAGGGAGGGGATAGGTCAGTCCAGGGAGGACGGACAGGTCAAGGGGGCGGGATGAGGCTAATAGGTAGGAGATGGGGGTGGGGCTTGAGGTGGGAGGAGGGGATAGGTGGAAGGATGGATAGGTTAGGGAGGCGGGGACAAGCTGGGCTGGTTTTGGGATGTGGTTGGGAGAGGGGAGATTTTGAAGCTTGTGAAGTCCACATTGATACCATTGGGCTGCAGGGTTCCCAAGTGAAATATGAGGTGCTGTTCCTGCAACATTTGGGTGGCATCATTGTGGCACTGCAGGAGGCCCAGGATGGACATGTCGTCTCAGGAGTGGGAGGGGGAGTTGAAATGGTTCGCGACTGGGAGGTGCAGTGGTTTAGTGCGAACCGAGCATAGGTGTTCCACAAAGTGGTCCCCAAGCCTCTGCTTGGTTTCCCTGATGTAGAGGAGGCCACAACAGGAACAGCAGATACAGTATACCACATTAGCACATGTGCAGGTGAACATCTGCTTGATGTGGAAGGTCTTCTTGGGGCCTGGGATGGCGGGGAGGGGGGAGGTGTAGGGGCAGATGTAGCACTTCCTGTGGTTGCAGGGAAAAGTGCCGGGTGTGGTGGGGCTGGAGGGGAGTATGGAGCGGACAAGGGAGTCACTGAGAGAATAGTACCTCCAGAAAGCAGATAAGGGTGGGGTGGGAAAAATGTCTTTGGTGGTGGGGTCGGATTGCAGATGGCGGAAGTGTCGGAGGATAATGCGTTGGATCCGGAGGTTGGTCGGGTGGTACGTGAGGACAAGAGGGATTCTGTTTTGGTTGTTATTGCGGGGAGGGAGTGGAGGGATGAGTTGCGGGAAATGCAGGAGACACGGTCGAGGACATTCTCGACCACTGCGGGGGGGATGTTGTGGTCCTTGAAAAACGAGGACATCTGAGATGTTCAGGAGTGGAATGCCTCATCCTGGGAGCAGATGCCACGGAGGTGAAGGATTTGGGAATAGGGATTGGCATTTTTGCAGGAAGGTGGGTGGGAGGAGGTGTATTCTAGATAGCTGTGGGAGTCGGTGGGCTTGAAATGGATATCGGTTTCCAGGTGGTTGCCAGAGGTTGCCTTGGGTATTTCTCGTCGGAAGCATTAGACGGAATCCTTTGTCTTTTTCACTCAGTCACCAGCTACAAGCCTGCAATTGGCTGAATTGCGATGTATTAACTCCACAGCGACTCTTGTGTGTGCCTTATTACCCCGGAAGTTAGATTTTGACCTTCCTAGCCGTTGAAAGATCTATTTTCTGAGTATATAAGTATGGAACAACATAATACTTTATAAAATGGTTTCGCTCCTGTGTAATCTGCGCTGGGAAAGATTGTCGATCTGATAGTTCCAAGAGAACGTTTGGGTGGCTCCGTGCTTCTGTCATTGTACTGAACTCGATAGCAATTTCTGAGCTGTATGGACTCGTTGTATAGAGGTAGGTCCTTTTAGCGGAGAAAAGCGTAAATAGTTAAATGTAACAACAGCAGCCTTAGCGGGCTGTATTGTTTGCAAGCGGCGCCGGGGATTACAAACAGAGCTGTTTAGTTTGGAGGCATTTGACTTTCAACAAGCCAATACCAAAGAGTCAAATCTCTTGGCGTCAACTTCTCTCCATTGTTTTTAATCACGGAATTAGTTTTCCTGATTTTAAGCTAAGCTAAATGACACCGTTCATTAGTTCGTAAACAGCAGAAAATGTTAATTCAAGAAAGGATTATGGCAAATTCTGGAGTAAACGTGTCCCCAAATCACTTAATATTTCAATGGAATAAATCCAATGTTATTATGTCAGGTGCTGATTGTTTCGCTGAGTGAATCCAGGCGGATGAGAACAATAAGAGAGTTTTAACAACACTGACAGCATGCCTTCAGCCCGCACTTTTGTTTTCCAGTTGATCTGAATGCAAAGTTTATGCATACAAACTATCCGAATATTCATCAGGATTATCCTAATAGTATTAAGAGCTTACTTTACTCCGGTGAAAGACACTTACCTAAATGAGATTGTTGTTTGGCTAAAGAGTCTGTTGCTTTTTGCTGTTTTCCAATCAGAACTGAAAATTGATTTCCTTTCCTGGTTTGTGTTAAACTAAGTAAATTGCCATGATGTAGGTTTTAAAGAATTTGGAAGAAAGTAATGTTCGCTGGTGTGGGGAGATAAGATTGACTCCCTCCCCCTCGCTGTTCCTATTAGGTGCTAATTACTTGGCAAAAAAATAGATAATTATCGCCTCGTTGAGTGTGTGCGGTGAGGGAAAGAGGTCTTCATTTAAATGCTAAAACTTTCTAACTACGCAGTTTTATTGACGTCCAAGTCTCTACTAATATGTGGAAGGAGTGAGTTGAGCTAGCCTGCCTGAAGGTGAAGGTAAAATAATGGCTAAGCTTAGTTCCTGTGGTGGTGTGAAAACACAGCCTCAACTCACAGAAACTCACTCGAAGGCGTCAGCGAGAAAAACTTCAAAACGTCCATTCACTATTGAGAGTATCCTGGGGTTGGATAGGAGTGAGGAGACGGCGCGTTTTCTATCTCCCCATCGATCGTTGCCTGATGCGCTTAACGTTCCAGGTAAAATTTGCACAGATCCGTGGTAAAGAGTTACTTCAAATTTTGATTTGTCTTTGCACAATTTGTACAGAAGTGTATTTCCCGTACCTACTTCTCTGCACTACCTCTTATGTGCTGGGTTTCTGAACGGCATGATCCCTTTTTACGTCCCTCTGAAAACAGCACATTAGTACCTAACGCGTATTATTGAATGAATAGGCAAGCGTAAAGTACGGAAATTACAGAAATACGCTGCAGGAGGCGGCCAATCAGCCCGTTATATTTCAGAAACGTGAACCAGTACTTTTAAAAAGTATTGTATTGTAACAATTTGACTCTTCTTTAGAAGCGCTCGCTGAACAGATTTTTCTGTCCTTTAGCTCTTCCACGGAGCTCGTGTCCAGATGCCGCTGAGAGATTCTGTGAGTCAGCAAATCCAGTGAAGGTTGGAAGGAGGAGCTGTCCGGAGTCAGAAGGGCAGCGTGAGGACCACTTTTCTAATCCGCCAAACTGCTGCTGGTTCCGAGGGAGAAGAGCCAGAACTGCGTTTAGTAGAAACCAGGTTATTTGTGAAGAATTCTTAAAATGCGCATCACGAAAGTGCTGCTTTACCTTTTTTAAAGAAGTGGCAATAACTTACACGAAATTGTAATTTCGAGCGTGCTTCTGAGTCCCGCCTAATGCCTTCCTTATACATTAGGATTCGACACTAGAGCTTGCTTTTTAAAGTTTGTCTTCAACATACATAACTTAAAATCCCCACATTATGACCAGTCATCTCTGGAACAGTTGCATCTCCAATTATAGTCTTTAATTCTCATGAACTGGAAAATAAGCAAAATACCTGAACGCTTTCAAAATTAGAAAAGCATTAACTGAATTAAACGTAACTCTAATTAGTGTAACTAGCTGGTTATATCTGAAAAGAACTGAAAGGCAGTGACTGTTATGCAAAAAAATTATGCTTGCTGTACCTATTGTTTCAATAGAGCAGAATAGACTAAAACGGTTTGTGCAAGTATTAAATAGAATTTGAACATAAATTTCTAATTAAACATGCTGCAGCATCCTCTCTCAATTGAAAGAATAATAACCTTGCTTAAAAAGTAACGAGTGGTTAGATATGCAACTGGGTGGAACGGAACTTTGCAGGATAAAGCGGTACAGGAAACTAACTGTTGTTATCGATTCAGTACCACTGGGTTTGATCATTCTCTGCGACTAGTTCTGCATGTAGTTTAATAGTACCCTTCCAACTATAAGTTAAAATGATTTTGTTTTAGCAAGTAGTAGAGTATCTTCTAACCACCTATCATTTTTAAAAATCTGATTGGTCAATACGGGGGTCCAATGTCTGATTTGATGAGTTTTTAATTTTTTTTCAGATTGAGGTATTAGAAGAAGAATTTCAGCTAAATTGTTACCCGGGGATTGATGTTCGTGAAGATCTTGCTCAGAAACTCGGGCTAGATGAAGACCGAATTCAGGTAATGACGGGAAACTCCAACATTAATAGAATCCATGCCAATTAACTTGCCTTTTTGTATATTATGTCCTGTAGCTAAAATTTTTAAATTCTTATTTTGATAAATTCAATATTTCAGATCTGGTTCCAGAATCGCCGTGCAAAGCTGAAAAGATCTCATCGAGAATCTCAGTTCCTGATGGTGAAAAATGCACTGATAAATTCACGTGCAGAAAGTTGGCACCCAGCTATAGGAACTCGATCATCAAAGTCTCAATCTTCTCGACTATTTCTTGATGCTTCATTTTATAGCTTGAAAGTTGGGGAGCAGGAAGGACCAAAGCCTAAATTTAGGTGTAGCTAAGTGTTTAATATATTTCAGCATTTGGGTTGGGGAGAGGAAAGTTGACTGAATGTTGTCTGATTAGAGTTCATTGACTCCCATTGGAAATTCTCATGATCATGACTGATGGGTGCAAAATTAAGCTGTCATATGACTAATACCCCATGTTAGTTTGCTGGAAGGCTACCAATGTCTGGTATGGATCTCCAGTTGAAGACAAACAGTTGATTGCTCCAAAGAAGGAAGCATGATTAATTTTGTAATTACAAGTGATATTGGGAACAGATCAGCCAGTTATTTATTATTGCGGGGCATTGCTGAATTCACATGGGCTGTCACGTTTCCTTACATTACAATAGCAATGGCACTAGGTGAAATGCCTGTGGTATCCTGAGGCTGTGAAAGGTGCTATATAAATAAATGTAAATCCTTTTAATATAACTCCCCATAAAAGTTTAATCTAATACTTTTTTTATGTTCTGTTGACTGGAAGGTTGGACACGCTAAGTATAAAACCTAACCTTTTCCAGTGTTACTGGAAGTTTAGAAAAGTTTAGAAACTTTAACAACCAGAGGCTGAAGAGTGACATCTGTTTATTCCTGTAGAGAGAGTCTGAGTAACATTTTGGATCTTGTAATCTAGTTGTATTTCCAGGATTGTTTAAGCATAGGAATTTAAGATTTTGAATACTACTAACTATTGAATATCATGCTGTTCCATTTACATGATCAAAGATTGGAAAGTAATGTATTACTTTGTTCCATTTGTGTACATCTTGGTGTGAATATTTTAGAGTACGTTATGAAGGTTTTGGCCTTTGTAACTGAATACAAACAAAGTATTGCTTGTCAAACTGTGAAGTAATACTTGCAATACTTTGTGTCTTTTGAGCATGTTTAAAATAAAGGACATTAACAATGGTGAATTGTTGTATTAGTAGCAGTCAGATTAATTTCCATAAAGTAGTTGGTGTCTACCGAGTATAAGATTTATGGAAGTGCAAGCAAATGGGAGTAGTTACCTGATCCTACAGAGTTAGGGAGCAATCTTGTAGCATTCTTGGAAATTTTTTTTGTGCAATGCACTTTAAGAATGTAAAGTAATCAATTTGCACCTGCACTGAGAGATTCTCTGGAAAGTCTGCTAAACAATTCATTTTGTAAAGTCAATGGCCTTTCGGTTCTCAAAAAGCAAATCACATATTCCACAAGGCCCAAGTACTGTTCTTTCTAAAAGGGAAATGTAGGTTGTTTACAAGTGGATTGCAGTGAATGAAAAGATTAGAGCCTTTCTGAGGTGTGTATGCTAGAAGGGCCCAATGTGCTGACTTGACTATTAAAACTCATGTTCTGTGATCTTGGGGATTGAGGGGCAAGGGGAAGGAACCTCTTCGGGTGCCCACATCTAATTGTAATTCAATATTTCAGCTACAGATTCTACCACTTGTAAGCAAATACAGCATTCAGATCTGCTGTGATGCCTTCTGATATCTGCTGCAATGGAGACTGCATGGTCATATGTTGCTTAGTTACTTAAAAATGATGGCCTAGCAGCACTCTTGTACCCTCATATGCTTTTAGTCAGGAAATAGTGTTTCTGTGCCTGTCAAGCTGCTGACTAACTGGGAGATGTTTTGACAACCTCAATTAATCAAATGTTGGAAAGCTAGAAACCATCTGTTTTTTGTCTCTTCCACATAATTTTATCCTCTTTGAGGCTTTCTTCCATACAGCCTTATTCACATTAGCATCCAGATCACTAAGTCTATTTTCAAGTCATATATATCCTGTCCATTCTTGTCTACCACTGTTGCTTATTTTTACCTATTTTTGGAATAGACCTTCAAGGTGCCTTTGGAACTCCTTTTCAATTACTGGTAAGCTTTTGATCGCAGAGTAACTTTTACTAAAATATCAGCTATTGCTCTAGTGCTTAATGCTGCTTTTGGTGCATATTCCTAAAGTGTGCAGTGATACAAAGAAGACAAGTTAGTTGCATAACACTTTTACTTTCCTAAAAGTTCTTGTTGCACAAGTGGAGAGAAAGAACAGTTCGTACTATTTCTTTTCTCTTTTTGAAATATCCTTTGCCACTTTAGTTCGACTCCAGGTCATTTGAGTAGTCTCGGCAACAGATAATGCTGCTCTTTATCACAATTCCCTGGGGCAGTAGTTGAAGCTCGCTTTTCAAATAGATTAGTAATCATAGTGCTCCCTCACATATAAATTATAATACTCCTAATCAACATACCTTCTAAAGTTTTTTGGAATGCCAGGTGATTTACATATGTGATCCCTTGACATTTTTGTCCAGCTGTGCATGCATGGCAACTTGAACTGACTTGTGTGCCGCTTACAAAATGACTTCACTTTTCTATGGCTATGCAATTTAAAGGGAACATTATAATATGAAACTATTGTTTGTAATTGATGTCTTAATGCTTTTTACGAAAGCAGCTATTTATTTTGAGTCAGTGAACTGAGTGTGCCTGCTTCTCACTGCAGAGATTGATAAGGAGCATGTTGCATTGCATGTGACCTCATGTTACCACTGCATGTCACTTATCTGACAAATTAAGATGGTTCCAGTTTTGATCTGTTCTCATTGGATTATCTGTAACAATGGAAACCAAACTTGGCCTCAGCACTCCAGTTTATGGGTGAACTAGAGGACAACAGAGATTGCCAGCCAATTCCACCATTTACTGCATTGCTACATCTAAATGAATAGATTCCTCCTACCTTTGGGCACACATCGAGGTTGTTTGGATGGAAGCACTGGCAAGCTTCTGTTTTGTTTTCAGTAAACCTATTTGAGTTAGCACTTACAGGAGGAAAAGAAACTCTGGGAGTGGGAGGAAAGATTTTGAAATAAAAACAAGAAATGTTCAATGATTTGAGCAGCATGGAGACTGAAACAAGTAAGTGTGGAGCTGGAGGAACACAGCAGGCCAGGCAGCATCAAAGGAGCAGGAAAGTTGACATTTTGCGTTGGGACCCTCCTTCAGAAAGACTGAAATAGTTGTTTCTGTTCAGTAACCTTTCATCAGACTCGAGGGTTTTCCCTCACAGTTGAATGTGTCTACAAGAAGCTGCAAGCAATGGCTCTATGTTGCAATTATTTTTGACAGGCCTACCTTTTTTTTTGTTGAAAGTAAAACCATTGTACTCCCTATAACAGGCAGCACGGTGGCTCAGTGGTTAGCACTGTTGCCTCACCGCAGTAGGACCCAGGTTCGATTCCACCCTCTGGTGACTGTTTGGAGTTTGCACATTCTCCCTGTGTCTGCGTGGGTTCCCTACGGGTGCTCTGGTTTCCTCCCACAGTCCAAAGATGTGCAGGCTAAGTGGATTGGCCATGCTAAATTTCCCATAGAGTTCAGGGATGTGTAGGTTAGGTGGGTTATAAGGGGATGGGTCTGGGTAGGATGCCCTGTGGGTCAGTGTGGACCTGTTGGGCCGAAGGGCCTGTTTCCATAGGGAATCTATGATCTTCTGTGAAAGAACCTAAAATTGTAAAAGTAACCTAAAAGTGATGGTGTTATCTCTACTATCTATTGTAACATAAGATACATGTTCTGGTGTGACATAAAGACTTTTTAGAGTCATAGAGCATGAAAATAGGCCGTTTGGCCCAACTCATTTGTGCCGACCAGGTTTCCTAAACAACTAGTACCATTTGGCTCATATCCCGCAATTCATTCCCATTCATGTACTTGTCCAAACGCCTTTTTGAAATATTGTAATTGTACCCACCTCTACCACTTCCTCTGGCAGCTTGTTCCACATGCACCACCCTCTATGGAAAACGTTGCCCCTCAGGTTCCTTTTAAATCTTTCCCTTCTCCTGTGCAATACATTTTCTTGTTATGGATAGTGACAATTCTCTATATTTGAAAAATGTGAGGTTTAACATGTACATTTGTGGTCCCTACATAAAACTTGATGTTAATAAAGTAGCTGCAACATAATTTCCCTTTTTTGCTTCACAGTTGAGTTGGACCACAGTGCAGGTGACAAGGTAAGTATGGTCAGATGTTTTGTGGAGGGTTTTGAGAATATTGAGATGTAGCAAGACTTTGTTTGAAGGAAGGACTTAGTGAGAGACAAGATGGTTTTCCAACCAAATATAGTTTTAAGGAAGTGGGGAATGTGAACCACACCAGAGTTGGAAAAATGCATTCCTGCTGCAGATTGAGTAAGTTACAACAATAGCATGAGAATGCCTGTGGAAGCACTTTCTTTTTAAGAGCTAGAATGAAGATTTTTGAGGTGGGTGTGTTGAGGAATACGGGAGAAGACGGTGAATAGCAAGGATTCAAGGTTAACAAGACACAATTACTGTAGGGTGTCTATTACAACAGTGTATTTTGGAATTATGAGGTGGAGGAACTTGAGGCCAGTAGTGACCTTAGAAATTAATGGTAACTGTGCTGTTGAGAGTTTCCATGGCTGTCTGTCTTGAATGGTCATCATAAATTGGCTGGAGAAGTTGAAACTTGAGTAGTGCATGATGTAAATTGTCAAACTGTTTTGTTTGAAGTATCGTGATGGATTCCTCATTAAGTAAGTAATAAGGAGTGGTGGCACGTGGGAACCCACTACTTAAAATAAGCAAACTTAGATGAAATACAACAGGTATGTGAAGTGATGTACTTCTAATCAAAATGCTATGATCCCAGCTGATATCACTAGACAAGTCCGATTCCAGACTGAAATTATTCAAATTCATTCAGTTATTTAATGATTTAGTCTTAACCCAAAATACAAATATGCAATGCTGTGAATCTAGTTTTAACAATAAGTTTATGTAAAAGAGATAATAAATCAAGCTAATTACATATAACACTTTTGAAACATTCTCACAGGAAAAATACAATTTCATCTGTCCCAACACCACTTTAGAGTACTCAATACCAGTGAGAGTTCCTTTCTGTCTTTTCTATAATCTTGACTTAACCATTCCTTTCACTTCCTGTGTTTGAAAAGTTTGATTTGACTCTTCTTGTAATGGTAATAGG